CCACCTATGGTCAGCCATACCTACTTTTTAATTCTCAGGAAATTTCCCAGCACTCCCAAGTGAAGTCATCCAGCGGGCTTTCCCCATGTGTGCAATCACCAAGGGTGTCTCCTTTCTTCCCCCACTTGCTCCTCAGAATGGTGGCTCTACCATGATACCTGTCCCGTCCCAATAAAAGCTTCAGATTGCAAGGCCTCCAAGGACAATGGTGAGAATGGGCATTGAACTAGAAGCCCACAGGGAACTCACGCCTAGGAGGGGCAGATACATGGCAAACAAGATGATGCTACCATTATACATCCTGTTTGGACAACAGCACAGGGCAGTGGGCAGAGAGATGGGGCTACCCCTTGGTGACCACATGGCTCTGACCATCCTTCGTAGCAGATGGCAGACATATGAAGGGAGAGGATGGCAGCCTGAGAGGAGCATAAAGGCCTCCTGTTTGTCACGGACAGATTGAGTGATATGATTGCTGAAGGAGGTACCACAATGATTGTGGGTGGTGCTGCACATTACCAGCCACCTCTCACCTGGGAGCCTGGATCTTGGTCTAGGTGTCATAAACAGCAAAGAAGAGGGAGTGACACAGAGAAACCTTCAATCTTTCCACTGATTCACTCCACAAATGGTCCAGGAAGTGGGTCTGGGCCAGGCCTAAGCTAGAAGCCAGGGAATTCTGTTCAGTTTAATACCAAGCTGGACTGGAATCACAGTAGCCAGGACCCTGACATGGACTGCAGTGATCACTAGCAGTGGCTTCATCTACTGTGCCAGATAAAGGCCTGGATTTATTTTAATACATGCTATGGGATGCAGGCATCTAGCCTAATGGTTAAGATGCCTGTATCCCATATCAGAGTGCTTAGGTCAGATACGTAGCTCCAGCTACTGATCTCAGCTTTCTGCTGTGGCAAACTGTGAGGCAGCAGCTGCCATCCTTTGGAGAAACCTGAGTTGAGTTCCCAGCTCCAACCCAGCACACCCCAGTCCTGGCTGCTGTGGGCATTTGAGGGGTGATCCAGCAGATGGGAGCTCTTTCTGTCTCTCGGCTTCTTGAATAAATAGTGAGTAATTAAATAAAATGATCCCTAGAATGATGAGCATTTGGCACAGTGATGAAGATGTCACCTGGGGAATGGCATCCAGCACAGCAGCATAGCAGGTTTAGTCACTGCCTGCAACATGGGCATCTCATAGGGGCACCAGTTCAAGCCTTAGCTAGTCTACCTAGCAAGTGCCACTGATTTAGAGGCACCTGGGAAAACAGTGAAAGATGGCCCAACTACTTGGGTCCCAGCCACCCTTTTGGGAGACCCAGATGAACTTCCTGATTCCTGGTTTTGGTCTTGTCCTACCCTAGCTGTTGGGCCATTGGGAAGTGAACCAATGGGTAGAAGATTTCTCTGTCTCACCATCACTCTGCAACTCTGCCTTTCTATTAAATAAATAAATCTTTAAAGTAAAAATGTTCTCAGTTCCAGCTTCCTGCAAGTATACAGCCTGAGAAGTGGTAGTGTTACCCACATGGGAGACCCGGGCTGAGTTCCAGGCTCCTGGCTCTGGCATGGCCCAGTCCTCGCTGTTGTGGGCATTTGGGCAGTGAACCAGAGAATGGAAAATTTACCTATCTTGTTTTTACTTTGTCTCTCTTGCCTCCACATGTGCACTGCCTTTCAAATAAAAAACATAATAATACAAATTGTAAAAGCCACAAATATCACTGGCAGCATTCTGCAGCTTCTGTATATAATCTTGTTTCATTTTTAAACTGTTTTATGTGGCAATAAAGAAAAATACTACTTACAGACGAGCACTGCTTCCTCCTACCTAGAGAGAACTGGGAAGATCAAAGAGCTACAAAACGAAAAACTGAAATACCATTCCTTCACCTCTCATCCAGAACACAACCCAAGCCTGACCAGCCCACCCAGCCCTGCTGGATGACAAGAGGTCCCACTGGAAAATTCCCCAGGACAACACTCTGACTCCCTCTCTTCCTTGGGGCAGCACCTCCCAGAGCCAGTGCCCAGGTCCTTGGCCTGTTTCACCTAACCCAGTCATCCCAACGGGGTCTGCCACAGATCCTCATGGCCAGGGCCAGCGTTCTCTGCCATGCACCTGCTGCCCATAGGTGGTCTCTCAAAACCCAAGGCAGTAGACACTCTCAAAGCCCTTCTGCTAGGCTGTGCAAGGAGCTGGGATGCCCATAGAAGTGGTACCCCATGTAGGCTGGCTAGCAGCTGCAATGCAGAATCTCTGGGAGCAGCAAGGATCCCAGTATAGCAGGCTCTCTCGGTCGCCCCTAGTTTTACCCCACTTCCCAAATACCTGGTCAGCATGGAGCTGGGTGGGTGAGTCAGCAACAAGGCTGTTTCTGGGTACTGGAAAGGGAGGGTTAGCTGCCCAGTTCCCAAGTGGAGCTCAGTCGAGGGACAGGAGCTAAGTGCGCCAGAACTGGAAAAGGCTGGGTCCAAGAGGGATATAGTGGCTGTTGGAGTGAGATCTGAGGGTGGAGACCCTGGGAAAAAAGTGAAGAAAAGGCAAGCCCTCCTCTTCCTGCAGCAGCCTGCCATGGCGGAACAGAGAAGGAGATACGAAGGTCTTCTGAGGTGGCCTCCTATCACCAAGACTTTAAAAGCTGTCAGGTGTAGGAAGGAACTTATAAAACGCTGTGGGAAAATGGAAACTACAATCTAACTGCCATAGGCATTTGATGCAACTGCTAAGTTGTTGCCTGGGTTTGAGTCCTTGTTCCTCTGCTTCTGATCTAGTTTCCTGATGATGCACATCCTGGGAGACAGCAGGTGATGGCTCAGGTATTTGGGTCCCTGTCACACACATGGGGGACAGGGGTCCACATTGAGTTCTGGCGTGCTCGTTTGGGATGGCTGTTATGAGGAGTAAATCAGCAAACAGGAATCTCTCTTTCTACTTCTCAAATAAAATGAAAACAAGTAAATAGACAAAAATATTTTAAAGGTTAATTAAAAACCTGGAATTCATGCATAATGTTTTCATCACACTCGTTGTCTGTAAATTTCTTAAAGTTCCCACACAGGCCTGGGTCTCAATATTTTATGCATCCAAATGCACTTATCTTTTAACTTCAGGTTATGGACAAAATTTCTGATGTCCCCTCATCTATGACACTCTCCTTAAAGTAAAAGAAGGCGGTGAGGAAAGGAAGGGGTTGGGTGGTGGCTACCGTTGTTGTAGGCGCTGCTGGGGAAGATCCACCTCTGCAGCTTCTGAGTAATGGCCCCCCCACTGGGTAAGCTGGGGGGGGGGGGATGCTGAGAAGGCCTGGCTGATGCTCAAATGGTCAGAGATAACTGAAGCTGCCTCTGGCCCAAGGGTTTGGCCAGCCCCGGCAGGAGGCAAATATGCAGGTGAGGAGTGCTCACAGCCATTGCCTTACCCCTAGAATGCACAGGGAGTCCCTTGCCAAGGCAGTGACCACTTGCAATAACATTGCTCCCTGGTCAGTAACCTGTACACCCTCCTCTGTGCACAAACACTTGCCCCTACTCAGAACCAAAGACACATGGCAGCCCCAGCACACACACACACACACATTCAGCTCTCTTCCTTCTTCCCATCTCCCCTCCCCACCTCACATACAGCTTCTGGGGTCTCCGGGGACCCCTCAGCCAGGACGTCCTCTTCCTCCATTGCTGGCAGCGGCATGGGCAAGAGGGCACTGCAGCTGCAGGATCCTGCCTCCCCTCCACCCCTGTGGGATCCAACTTGAGCCCTGGCTCTGACTGAGTTTGTTTGTCAGGCTGCAGGTCCCTGGAGACCTCGACCAGGGAGCTTGGAGCTGCAAGAGGCCTGGGGAGTGGCTTACACCAGCCCTCTGGGGAAACTGTAGGGCTTTAAAAGTTGGATAGAGAGAAGCCCCAAGCTCCCTGCCCTCTGGTGGGTCAAGCCAGCCCCCAGGAAAAGAATCCAGCTCCTGTCATGCTCAGAGGGTCCCTGAGGTTTGAGGCTGCAGGACAGCAGACAGGAGGACACTTGGCAGAGGCCCTGGACAGGAACCCCAGCCACACAGATGGGCCCAACAAGGCTGAGAGTGTCCTGGGCGGTGGCTAGGGAGAGGACATACACCCAGCCAGGGTGCCCAACCACCCAGCCAAGGACATTCCCTTCCCCATTCCCAAAGGACTCACAGTCACCATCCTCTGTGCCTGATTCAGTCTCCGAACCCGGGTCTACTCCCAGTCACAGGGATGGACCTCTTTATCCACTAAGCAGCCACCTCCAGGAAACTCTTCTCCAGCTCACCTGCCAGCCAGCCCAGACTTTCAGCACTCATGCCCTGAGGCTTCAACAATTTCAGAATCATCATAGCACCCAGACCTGGGGGAAGGGATGAGTGGCCTAGCCACAGGCCAGCAAGGGCCTGGGGACTGAGATTCTAGAATCCCGGGTTTGTTCAGCAGGTCTGGGCAGTTTCCACTCTCTCCCATACTCACTCACTCTCTCTCTCTCTCTCTCTCTCTCTCTCTCTCACACACACACACACACACACCCCAGAGCAACAACCCAGAGTTCCATGGAACAGCCCAAGGCCAGAGACCCAAATCCAAGAAACTGGTGCCAACATTCAAGCCCTCCAATCCCAGAACCCCAGTTCTCTGTCACCTGTGCAGCCCCCAGCCCATGCGCCAGATCATCCGTGCCTCTTGCACCCTGTGTCTTGCGGACCCTTTGTTCTCAAGCAGAAGAGCATGGCTGATCATCCACAGCAGACTGCAGATAAGCATGACCCCTGAGGGCCCCTGCAACCAGTCAGCGCCAGAAAAAGACGCTGGAGAAACCCAAGCACAGAAAGCGGCAGACTCTGCCAAAACCCAGGAAAGTAACAGCCAGAGTGGGTGGACCCAACGGAAGGCAGGAGACACCACAGGCCCGACCAATCTTCAGCCTGGGAGAAGCAGAAAGGGTCAGGGCTTCCTCACCCAGCCACGGGGCACACCCAGGCCTTGTCAGCTCACCTGGCCTTGCTGGACCGTCAGCCCAGCTGTTCTGGAAGGAGAACACTTTCCTCTTGCTCTATTTGGACAGCTGCAGGGGTCGTGAGGATGAGAGGAGAAGGCGGATCACTGGGGGCCCTGGAGGGCAGGCTGGCTGCCAGTGCTGGGAAAAGGGCTGGGGGCTGGCCCGCTGGGCGCTGTGCCATGGGGTGGCCCAGAAGGGAACAGGAGCCCAAGGGCAAGGCAGGAAAATGACGTCTGCTTATATGGAATTTGCTCAGTTAAAGGTGAGGCCAAGAACTGACCTCTGAAGCCCAGCCTCAATCCTGAGAATGCCTTACTCCCAAACAGGTCCCACAGCCCTCTCCTGGGCTCCCCCAGGCCGGGTGGGAAGGGAAGGACCCAGGAGAGAAAGTCAGCCCTCACAAGCCCTCCGACTCCTGCCCTTTCCCTCTTGGGAGGCAGGATGTAGAACTGTGAGGTCCAGCCCAACTCTCCTCCCTGGAGTCTCTCTGGCTCTCTCTTTCCAGTCATTCCATCTTGGTATCTCCAGGTCCCCATCTCCACCCCCTTCTGCTGCCTGCCCACCCCGGGTTATGTAAGGGGCCTGAGAACACACAGAGGGAGCTTTGTTGTCAAACCAAATCCATACGGAGCCGACTCGGCCAAGGCAGCTGTTCCCCATTCCCTCTGCCTTGGCGGGACTGAGGCTCCGGGCAGGAAGCCCCTACATGCCTCCATTTGGGAGTTGGGGGACAAATACTGTCCCTAAGCCCCAGGCAGCTGAATGGGTGGCCAGGGACCAGTCATTACTGCAGGGGGTGGGAGGATGGGAGAATGGGAATCACAGCAAGGGACCAACTGGTCCTGAGGCAAACACAGCCACAATACAAAGCCAGGGTCACAGTTATCAGAGAGGCATGCTCCAGGCCAGGGGCATTACCAGGCCCAGATGCAGGGAGAGTGCACCCCGGATTTGCTCTTTCACACACCTCCCCCATGTCCACATTCCCCTGCATGCTTCCAGGCATGTGCGTGGACACACCCACGCACCAGCCCAGGCACAGCAGGACATCATGTGCTCACCTGCAAAGGGTCTGAGCAGAAAGAGCCTCTCCACTCTGGCCGGCTGCCTCCATCCTAGCAGGCACCACCGTGGGAAAGAGCTCCAACTCTGCAACAAGGAGGGTAGAGGGCGGCAGGTCAGAGGCCAGGGAAACCCTGTCCAGGAGGACAAGATCCTGACTGCATGCCCCAAACGATGTTCATCAAGGCAAGAGAAGGCCCAGGGAGTGGGGCTTAGCATCACAGTGTGTGAAAGCTCAGCTCACACCATCCCGCCACCAACCCAACTGCAGAAGGCTTCCAGCGTTCACAGTCCCCTTGAGCTCTAAATGCAGGCCCTCTCCTGAGTACTCCTGGCCCTCCTGGAAGCCTAACCCAGCCACCCTCTGTGCTGGGACCTGGGGGTGGGATGAAAGAGAAGCACAAGGAGATGGGGAGAAAAGAAGGCAAAAGTGAAGCAAGTAGGGAGGTCGGAGCAAGTGTGCAAACCCTACAGGGGAAACAGAGAAAGAGCAAGACAGGATGGAAGGAAGGAAGCAGGGAAGCACCAAGGAGAACAAAAGGAGGAAGGACAGTGAGTCTGAGAGACAGGTCCCTGTCACAACTCCATCAGCACATGCCACTCCCTAGTCCTTGCCCCAGGCTTGGTCCGCTGGACACAGTCTGGTCCATCTAGTTGGACATTTACAGCCCACCCAGTCCTAAGGTTCAGCATATCCCCAGGAGAATCTTGATTTCTAAGTTCTAAATCTTGAGGTCTGCAGAACAGGTAGGATGAAGGAGAAATGCATGGGGTGGCATGGAGGGACATAGAGAACCAGGGTCATTCCTGAGGCTTAGCTCAGTGAGGCAAGGGGCCCCTGCCCCCTCACCTGGTGAGAGAGAGACATTGTGTCACTATACAAATAAGTAAATTTCTGAGTTTCCACTTCCTCATTTGTTGAAGGAATTAAATGTGGAGCAGCTAGTGCATATCAGGGCAATGAACCAGTCAGCCATGAGTCCTGCCCTCTTGTGGAATGAGGATCAGTCAACCTCTGACGTCTCTTCAGCTTGAAAGCCACCTATCTCATGGATGTATCACAGGCCTGTGATTGGCGTAGATGCTGTGATGTGTACCTCAATTAACAGATGTGACGACAGAACCAGTCACATCTGAGACCTGACCAAGATCACATGACCAGGGACTGCGCAGAGAGGACGTGAGCACAGTTCCAGGAGCCCCTGCTGCCCAGCCAACTGTCCTTTGGCCCCTGCGCCCAGAGTCCCACTCTGGAGTTGCAGTTGGCATGACATAGTATGAGCATCCACACACTGAGTTTAGTTGGGATGCGACCTCATCAAGAGCCACTCATTTCTCAGAAAAAAACCAAGTTAACAGCTGTGGGCTTGTAAAGAAGTTAGGATAGCCTTTTATCTACCTTTTCTCTACCGCTAGGAACACAGCCTCCTGGCCCCACACTGACACCCAGGGGCACCACCCCATAGCCACCTGCCTCTGCTACAGCTTGCACCCCACCAAGCTCCACTCTGGATTCATCTTGGGCACACGATCTCCTCCACATCATCGGAGCCAGATCTAGGAGGAGTGAACACTGTGACGTAGGAGTGCAGTATAGAGGGCAATGCTGGGCGTGCTGGGCGGATTATCAGAACAAGGGCATGAGCTGATGATGCTGATGGATACTCACAAGGTCAAAGGTCACTGCCATCAGTGGGGTAACTGCAAGGAAGTGACCTGACCCTGGGAATTTTTGCCACATGGGAGCTTGCAAGACCCTCTTAAAGCCAAGGAACCGGCCAATAAGTAGAAGTGGAGTTCCCTGGGTTGAAGCAAATGAGGGTTAAGCTTCCTCCTGAGCCCTCCTCCCACCAGGTGGGGCTCCCACCACTGGGCTGCCTCTCTTGGACTCTGAATAAGCAGCAGACTACTAGAGGGGCAGGAGGTAAGGTGAGGACCAGCCTGTGCAGTGAGCTGCAGGTACCTGAGAAGAGGTGACGGGTGTAGAGATGAGAGCAGTTGTCCCTGGGATGGCGGAAGGGGGAGTGCCCTCTCCGGGGACAGGGAGACTCCTTTCTGAGGTGACAGCACAAGGCAGGGCCCAGGCTCTTTTCTGGCAAATAGTTCACCTAGCAGAAGGAAAATTCTTCTCCCTCTGTCCTGGGAAAAGGAGCAATCAGAGTAGAGGCACGTTAAAGACCAAACTGGAAAACTGGGACCTGTGGTGTCGGTATCCCATATGGGTACCAGTTTTGAGTTCCAGCTGCTCCACTTCCAATCCTGCTCCCTACTAAGGAGCCTGAAAAAGCAGTGGAGGATGGCTCAAGGTCTTGGGCCCCTGCATGCAACTGGGAGACGTGGAGGTAGCTTCTGATTCCTGGCTTCCAAACTGTCAAGCTATGACAAGTGTGGCCATTTGGGGAGTACCTCAATGGACAGCACATTTCTGTCTCTCCCCCACCTCTCTGTAACTCTGCTAAAGCATATAAAGAAATTCTTTAAAAAAAAAATACTGGAACTATGTTTTTACTCATTCATCAAATGGTTACTGAGCACTTATTTGCTAGTCATCATTAATATGCCAGGGAACAAGATAGACAGGTTCCTAGAACTTAAGAGTGAAAGTTTAAGAGCTGGGACAGGTGTTTTCGCCTAGGAGTTTGATGTCAGCGTTCACACTGGCATGCCTGGTTTGACTCCCAGCTCTGGCTTCCATTTAGTTTCCTGGGAAGCAGCAGACTCAAGTGGCTGGGTTTTGCCACCCACACACAGGAAACCTAGACAGAGTTCCTGACTCCCAACCTCAGCCCCTGGTCATTTAAGGCATCTGAGGACTTAAAAAGTAACTGGAGGCGCCTTCTTTTTCCCTCTCATAAAAAATAAAAATAATAATAAAATTCTAAAATCTCAGGAAGAACACACCTTAGTAAAAATGGCCAAACCCATTCCCCACCACAAACACAGAGCAGTCCATGGCTGCAGTAGGTTCTTCTGGACTGTCCCTATCCAGGTTACTGTCTGGGCTCCTGAGGTTTGCAGACAGGCATCAGAGGACCCTGCCACACTCCCCCTGCCCATCCTGTGCAATCAGGCTCAGCAGTCGGCACTGTTAAAAGGTCCCGGCGGCGTGGCCTAGCAGCTAAAGTTCTCACTTAGAACATGCCCGGGATCCCATATGGGCACCGGTTCATGTCCTGGTAGCCCTGCTTCCCATCCAGCTCCCTGCTTGTGGCCTGGGAAAACAGTAGAGGACAGCCCAAAGCTTGGGACCCTGCATCCACATGGGAGACCCAGAAGAGCTCCTGGCTTCGGATGGGTAAAGCTCCGGTCATTGTGGTCACTTGAGGAGTGAATGATTGGACAGAAGATCTTCCTCTCTGTGTCTCTTCCTCTCTCTCTCTCTCTCTATATATATATATATCTGACTTTGCAACAAAATACTATTAGAACGGGCACAAGGCCCAGAGCAGTGGCTTAGCTGGCTAAATTCTCACCTTGCAAGTGCCAGGATCCCATACGGGTACTGGTTCATGTCCCGGCCGCTCCACTTCCCTTCCAGCTCCATGCCTGTGACCTTGCCTAGGACCCTGCACTCACATAGGAGACCTGGAAGAAGCCCCTGGCTTCTGACTTTGGATCGGCTTAGCTCTGACCAATGCAGACATTTGGAGAAAGAATCAGTGGATGGAAGATCTTTGTCTCTGTCTCTGCTTCTTTTCATAAATCTGATCTGCCTTTCCAATAAAAATAAATAAATCGTTTTAAAATAATTAACTTTTTAAAAGAAATATGCACATTCTGCTTTTTATGAAGACAAAATATACAACTGCTCCATCTCTGGTTTGGAGTCAATTGCCCAAGACCAAATGAAACCGCTTCTTCCTCACAGGCGTGGAACCCCTAGGGCCCCTTCCCCTCCATGCCCGGCAGAAGTCAGGTGTGCCCCTGCTTCCTTCCTGCCAGGTAACCTCTTTCTCACAACCAGTAAAGGAAATGAGGAACCCACTGCAGGGCACAAAGGCAGGAGCACCCACCATGCTGGGCAGACATTCAGGCTTTGCAGAAGCCCCTCCGACCTTTTGCCAGCCCAGCATGGGATGGTACCACGGCAGCAAAGGTGCAGGATCTAGGCATGCCAGGTGCGACGCCCAAGTGACCACCTTGGCTGGGATCCTTATGCGCGGATCCCGGCAGGGCCCCGCCCATTCCCCACGTGTCGCCCTGCCTGCGGTTGCTGGAGGAGGCCTCACAGCCCTGTGGGCGGCCAGGAGCCGCATTTCCAAAGGAATAGGAGCCTGCACACAGGCGGGCCAGATGGAAGCAATTACCGGCGGGAAAGCGGGAGAAGTGGGGGCTGGGAGGGGCCGGCAGGGAAAGAGGGAAGGACGGACCGGGAAAACCTTGTTCTACCCAGCTCAACGCCTCGGCTAGAGGACAGTGGGAGAGAACCGGGTGCACAGCAGCACACAGAGGATCAGCTTTAGGCTCTACCGCCTTTGTCACTGACACGCTGTGGCCTGGCACAAGCCCCTTCACACTTCTGCATCCAGGCCTCCCCTGGCTCCTATCAGGAGGGGCTGAGTGAGAGCAGCTCAGGGGAGCCGTCAAGAACTGGACTGCAAAGTGCAGGTTCTGGCTACAGGCCTGGATCCCAGGCCCAGCTCAGTTCCCAGCTGCTTATGAGCTGTGTGACCTTGGCCAAGTAGCTTAATCTTTCTGAGCCGGTTTCTCTTCATTTACAAATGAGCTTAATAACACAGTTGTGTGAGGCTCACATGAGGTAAATGCAAGTGTCTAGCACTTTAAGTTTAGTGGACCAGACTCTTCATAAATGCTTGATTGATCAATGGTAACTTGGTGTGATTTGCTAAGTCCCTTTTTAGTACAACAGAAGTTCAGCCACAGCGCAGCAGGCAGAGGAACCAGGGCAGGTTGTGAGCATCACCGCTGGCCTTTAAACTCTGATCCCAGAGGACAGTCTAGACCCAAGGAAGAAAAGCAGTGCCTCCCACACTGCAGGCAGGACTCTTCTAGTTGCCTGCCTCCAAACGAAAGCAAGATCCTGGCGTCTCCCACCGATCCCCACACATGATACTGAACTAAGCTGCAGGCAGGAAAAGAGACTTTATCCAATGCCAAGTGTGCCGGGGCTGCAGCCAGGCCTCCCCCCTTGCCCCAGACCTAGCCTGACCCCACCTCCAGTCAGTCCAAGTAGCACCAGCACCCAGGGCTGCAGAGTCTGCAACGATCCTGTTCCACATAGCAGTTTGGGCAGCGGGGTGGGAAGACAGGAGGCTGTGGTTTGGCTGTTGGGCTCCTAGTCCCAGGTGAGTGACTGGCCAAGACAAAACCATAGTTCTGGATAATCACACCCTCCTGAAAAACAACAACTCAAGTTGAGCCTTCTACTGGGTTCAAGGTCAATGGGAAGTCGCAGGGTACCAGGCTGGGCCCTGGGTGCCCTGTGCTGGATGTGACAGTTAACCACTTCCTCCCCTCCACCCACCCCCAGGGTGAATGTAGTGGCAATGAGGGTGAAGGACTGCAGTGACTCTAGAGCCAGGGGTGCCCTTAGGACATTTGTGCAGGAAGGAGAAGCAAAGGAGAGGGGAACTCCAGGCAATGGCTACCCAAAAGCAGCCTGCCTGAGCCATTTCCCCCATGGAGACTCCAGGCTTCCAAGCAAGGGCAAAGATGACAAACAGCAGGAGCTATGCCACTGACACTCACTCATTTCCAGGAAATGGCTAACACAGGGCAGCAAATTCTGGTGCCCAGGGCAATCCCTGCCCATTACCTTACTGGCCTGCTCTCTGCAATCCAAGGTCTATCTTGGAGGGCCAAGAGTGGGGCTGGACTCCAGAAGCTTACTGGGTCACAATCAGCAATCTTGATTTTCAAAAATTCCAAGAGGTGCAAGCTCTCTATGCATGCCCCGCAGACTCCCTGTGCCTTCTCACTCCCTGGCAGCATGCCCCACCTGGTTCGTCAGAGATGGAACACTCCCTTTCCTGCAACTGGCAAGCCACTCGGAGAGGAGTTCGCAATGCCACTGGGACAAGATCTGGGGTGGCTGCGCCACAGGGATCCTGAGGTGGCACCTAAGACAAGGGTGGATGCCAGGCCAGTGTGGGGTCACTTCAGAGTAAGCATCACCCTGCTCACCCTGCTAGCCTGCCCTCTCCATGGGGGCTGGTCTCCAGGACTTGTGACCACCCTAGAAAGGAGCAGGTTGCTGATTCTATGCAGAAATACATAGTCTCAAAAGCTTGGTGGGGGCCCAGGGGAGTGGGGCTCCAGCACAGAGCCCATGGCAATGTTTCTGAGGAGTTGGGAATGAGTCACGGCTTGGGGCAGGGAGCGGGGTGAGGGAAGGAAGGGAGGGCAGCCCAGAAGGCGCCGCGGGCTTCCTGGGCCCTCATACTTGGGGAAGGCAGTAGCAGCCTGCTCCCAAGCCACAGATGCCCGCTCAGCTCAAGCCCTAGCAGGGGATTTGAACTCTCACACTCCCTCCATCCATACCCTCTCCTAGCCTCAGCTGTCACTTTGCAGCCAAGGGCCCAATGAACAGCCTAAGATCTCCCACCCAGCACAGGGCATCCTCTGTGGACAGATGCGTATGCAGCAGGGCAAGAAACAGGTCAGAGAATCCTGGGCTGCCCCGGCCACCTGCGCCTGGGCAAAAAGTGGCCCCAGACCAGCTAGCAGCAATGCCAAGACTTTCTAATCCCCAAACTGCTGGTGCCTCCCAGGCAAGCTCTCCAGGGCAGCTCTGGGGAGCCAGAGTGTGGGAGAATATTACTGAATGCAAACATTTAACCGGCTTCTTCCTCTGTGCCAACACCTTTCAGAGCACTTAACACTTAACAACTCATTTCAAACCTGCCTTGCAGATGTCAGGGCCTGGGCCAGGAGGAGGCAAGAGCTTGGGGTTGGGGGAGGAAAGAGGGCAGAAGGGTTGGTCCCATATAGCTCAGGAGATCATGGCATGGGTCTGTGCCTCTTGTGACAACCTGGCCCCTGGTATGACCATTTCCAAGGTTCCACAAGAGTACGTCAACCTGAACTTGGTTTCCATGCTGTGCCTCCCTCCAGCGGCGGAAAGCACCGGCTTGGAAGCCCGTGGAGGGTGCCAGCCTGTGGGTGGCCATGAGGTCAGACAGGGCACAGCTGGGCCCCTGAATGCTGCCTGTGTTACCCCCCACCCCCAGCTGTCTGTGCCAAGCCCTTGGGACCCAGGCTGGAGAAGAAAAGCAGCAGCAGGGGACAGATTTAGGGGACTGTCCCTCAGGCTAGCATGGAGAGGGCAGTGCTGGCAGACATGTTGGCAGCTCTGGGCTGGCCAGGACCTCAGTGCCAGCAGGAGCCCCAGGCATCCCGCTGAGACTAAGGTGCCGGGCACCCAACACCAGCCAAGTGCCTCTGAACGCTGTCCCTTACAGCTATCCACCACACAGGCAGCTCAGCTGAAAACGCGGCGGCCTGGGCCCAAAGACTCACACAAGGTGGTCCTGGTGCCCAGGCACAGCCAGCCCCCGCTGCTACTCTTGACCTTTGGGCTTCAGGGACCTTGCAACGCTTGCACAGGCATGCCCTGCAAAACCCATTACCGCCAGCAAGGAGGGCTCACGTGTGCCGCACTCCATGGGGTAGTGGTGAGAGCAGCCAGCGACCCGGGTTCAGAGGATGCCTCTCCAGCCCAGGCACAGGGTGGGGACAGAAACTTTCCGAAGAGGACTGTCCTGCCCGCGGACTCCAAAGGAGCAAAGGGAACCCAGCTTCCCGCGAAAACCTGGTCCAGGGAAAGTGACCCCAGAAGCTGCTCTGCGGGACTGGGGCCGCCCCACCCCAGCCTGAGCCGCGGCGCGCCCACGTGCCGGGTCCGACACCGCCCCGAGCGGCGGCGCAAGGCTGGGGCCGAGCGGCTCCCCGTCCTCCTCCCGGGGGCCCAGGCGCCTCGGTCGCGGCGTACTCACCCAGGCGGGTGGAGCGGGGCGGGGCAGGACAGTTCAGTGCACAGCTCCGATCCGCTAGGCGCACCGACCCGCGGCGCAGCGCTGGCGCAACCGCTCCGCTCCGCCGGGTCCCTGTCCCGGGCGCGGAGCCGGCCTGGGAGGGGGCAAGTCCGCCTGCGAGGGAAGCGGGGGCCGGGGCCCGGGCCCGGGCGGGGGGCGGGGAAGGGGCCGGACACGCTTGCGCACACGGCCGGGGAGCCGACTCCCGGAGCGGCGGGGAGGAGGAGGAGGAGGAAGGGCGGGGTAGAAGAGGAGGAAGGGCGGGGGTGAAGCTGCTCGCGGGTGGGCGGGACGCCCGCCGCAGGCTCGGGAAGGTGCGGACGCTTCGGAGGCTCGGGGTGAGAAAAGCGGCGGGCGGTGGAAGGGGAGCCGGTTGGGGTGAGAGGAGAGCCGGGGTGGGCGCTGCTAGCGAGTGGCGCCGGGATGCATGTGCCCAGCGCAGCCTCCCTTACTCTCCCGGGAACAATGAGACCCAAGAAAGGATTCCCTGCGTTCCCACGCCCTGACCTGCATCCTGGCCTCCCTGGGGAAACCAAGGCAGGGAGGAGGGAGGGGCCCTGCTCCCGGAGCGGTCCTTCTGATCCTACACGCACCTCCAGCCCAGCCCACATCGGCCACCGCCTAGCTGCTCCTTCCCCACTCACTTCCTTTGCAGACCTCTGGTTTCCAGACCTTGGTACAGGCGTCTCCCCGAAGGTCTCCCCTGGAAGAGCCCATCAGATCCCTGGCACTGGCAACCTCCCTGAAAACTTGGGTGCTGAACAATCGGAAAAATAGGCTGAGGTCACCAAGCTAGACCAGCTACCCCACCCCCACCCAGGTTATAGCTTTCATAGATCAACCTGGGACCCTCGTATGAACAGCAGAGTGCTGGGGCATCCTGTGTTCTAAGGAAGATGACAGTGGTAGTCCCCCTGGGGAGTCGATGTTTCAGCTGCAGAAGACTCACAGTGGATTCCATTGAAGAATAAGGCAGAGCAGGATGTGACTAAGTGCAGAGTGAGTAACGAACAGTAAGTGCAAGGAGGGTCAGAAAAGTGGCCACAGTGGGCTGGAACTGGAGCTGGGGGCTTATCTGTTAAAAACCCATTACTCAACCAATGCCAAGGGGAGGAGCCCACCTCCAGTCACTCCTGGCAAGGCTTCAGGCATCTTGCTTGGTTTGCATGGTGTCTTTGATTTTTTTTCAGTCAAGCATTCATTGAACAAATACTTCTTGCGGATCATGTTTGGGCCTTGGCCTAAGCTGGCATAAAGGACACAATGACCAAATCCTTAATCTGGGCGAACCAAGAGGAAGAGGGGGAGCACCCTGTCTCACACCTAGGACACAGGTTCTGAGAGAGTAAGCAGTGGCCCCAGGGGACTCCGAGAGTCTGGTGAAGCTGACCTGTAGGAGGACATTGTGACCCTATAGGGTCACTGAGCACAGGATTGCAGTTGATTGGATAATATTTGCATGAGAACAACCGAATGGCTACCTTTTGTATCCCTGATTGGATATCATTTGTATAAGAACAGTTGAGTGGACAGTATGTGTGTGAGAACACTTGGTGGAATATACAACACAAAAGGAGTTCCAAACAAGAGTATGGAAACAGTCGATGGGTTTTGTTGCTAAGCTCAATACCTCCTCTCTTAACCCACATAACCCTCAGTGTATAAAGTTTGATGCCACTAATAAACTTCGGCTTTGGCCATCAGTCAGGGTCCCCACATGTTACTGTCGGCTCCATGCACCAAGTCCATCACTGCAGAACAGCGACACTGACCCAAGAATCAGCTCGGGCTTTCAACTTGGCCAATTCTTAAATGAACTGGATCTTAACACACTTTGCAATTCTTGCTAAGAAACTTTTCAGAAAGTTGAAATTAAAAACCAGCTATTGGGTCCAGAAGTATTGTACTGCAGCCAGTTAAATCACCACCATCAATGCTGGCATCCATATTAGATTACTAGAGTTCTGGCTGCTCCCCTTCCCGTGTAGCTCCCTGCTAATGTGCCTGGGAAGGCAAGAAAACATGGTCTATCCACATGGGAGATCAGGTGTGGAGTTCCTGAGTCCTGTTTTCAGTCTGGGTCCTTATAGCCATTGGGGAAGTGAACCAGCAGATGGAAGACCTCCCTCTCTCTCTCTCTCTTCTTGCTCCATCTTTTTTTTTAAAGATTTATTATTATTATTATTGTTATTTTATTGGAAAGGCGGATAAACAGAGAGGAGAGACAGAGAGGAAGATCTTCCATCCAATGGTTCACTCCCCAAGTGGCCACAACGACTAGAGCTGAGCCAATCCGAAGCCAGGAGCCAGGAGCTCTCCCACGCGGGTGCAGGGTCCCAAAGCTTTGGGCCGTCCTCGACTGCTTTCTCAGGCCACAAACAGGGAGCTGGATGGGAAACAGGGCCACTGGGATTAAAACCAGTGACCACATGGGATCCTAACTACTACACTGTCGCACCAGGCCCATTGCTCCATCTTTCAAATGGATAGTAAATAAATAAATCTTGGAAAGAAAAAAAAAAAAAAACAGAACAGAACCAGCTTTTGCTCCTGGAGATCTGAGTTTCAGTTTTTCCCCTGCCATTAAAAAGGTTTAGTTTTCTTACTGGGAAAACAAAATTGAAGTAACTGATTTTCACAAAGAATTACTGTTGGTATGATATCAGGCAATGGTGTAAATGTTTGCATATTGTGGAAAACATCTCTCCTTTCCCATAGACTGCATTCACACTTACACACACATACACACACCCCAGTTACTCTAGGTCCAGTTCCTAGGTGCTCAGGGGTTGACCATAGTTCTGATTTCCCTTCAGGCCATGGGGTACTTACTCATGGCCTCTTCCTTCCAGTTTCTTAACCACACAGCCAGAAGCTTAACTTACTGCCCAGAAACCATATCTGTGGTGTAGGTTCCCAGCCTCTCCCAACTCCACTGTGCCCTGCTGGCCCAACTGTAAGACATTACAAGTTGTTCTGCAAAAGGCACAGTGATGGGGCAAGCAGGACAGTAGGTCACGGGGACTGTGGTTTCTGGAGGTTAACTGTGCTCAGGGTGGCTGAAGATAACTTGAGTAGTAACGGGTCCAGGTCTCTGCTTCTTCATTTCCACTTCCTCTACTTCCCTGTCACCTCGCCCATAATTTCCCTGTGTCAGGGTCACCAGAGGTCTATGAGAGACAGCGACAACAGGGACAAGGGAGGGAACAGGGACCTCAAGACCTGGGAAGCCCTGTCCCTGGGGCAGTGTGGGCAGCAAACCATGGAGCTGCTTGACAAATTTGCCTCCCAGGCTTCTGGCTCCTGTCCCCCACGTGTGCCATGCTAGCATCCTGGCAAGCAGGAGGAGGGAACAGCAAGATATCATTAGAAGAGTGAGGAATAAACCCAGTCCAACATGGACGCTTTTAAAATAGCAACTCCAGGCTAGTATTTCAGCTCCTATTTCTATCAGATTTATATGGCTGGACCATAGAGCACAGCAGTTCCCAGACTTCTCAATTGCAACAGAAATCATGTTGTGTTAGGAACTGGCCGGTAACTCAAGGACAATGTGCATTCCAGGAACATTTAGACTGGAAGAGGTCCTGAGAAGTCACTGCAGGCCGTGCCTGCCTCTGTTGAGGGTCACGCTCGATGGACCAAAGGACACTTGCAGCCAGCTGTTTTGCCTCTACTATGTGGCCCAGGATGTCATAGCCCTTCTAATCAGCAAACTATTTTTAGTACCATCTTCGTCCACTCTGGCTGCTGTAAAATTGACATAATTTCCTGCAGTTCTGGAGGCTGGAAGTTGAAGTTCAAGACACTAGCAAACTTGGTGTCTAATAGGACCTGGTTCCAGTTCAAACATGGCCATCTTTACCCCTCTCCCTGGTGGTGGGAAGGGCAAGCTGCTGTCTGGGACCGCTTATAACGAAGCTCTAGTCCCATTCACGAGGACTCTGCTCTCATGGCCCCATCACTCCCCAAAGACAGTCACCATGGAAGGAAGGATCCCAAGGTGTGAACCTCAGGAGGACACCAACATTCAGATCATAGCAAGTATCCAGCCAGGGGTTGTCTGCTAGCATCACTGTTGGTCATTCTCACAGCATTAAAGTAGCAGCTAACATTTTCTGAATGATTGCTGTGTCCCACAAAATCCTCTTAGGCAAGCCTCGTGAAATTCCTCTGGGAGAGGTAGTCTTATCATGCCTGTGTTAGCAGTGCTTCTGTAACTTGCCCAAGATCATGCTTGGCTATGGCAGAAGCTATACTGGGGCAGCTGGGGCCATCAGACTGCTTTGCTAGCATGGGAGGAACAAAAGAACGCTGTGAAATTTCCTCTTAGCCAAGTCCCAGCCACGTTGAGCCCCAGCCCCCTAATTTCTGGGTCTTTGCTGGTGCTTGCCGTTTTGGCTGACAATCAGCAGGTTTTAGCCTAGAGCACCAAAAAGACAGACACTGCAGGAGCTCACTTAAAATTGAAATCTAAAAAAGTCGAGCAATAGAAGCAGAGAGCAGAATGGTGGTCACCAGGAGGTGGGAATGGAGAGGGTATAAAGGATACAAACTTTCAGGTAGACTGGAGCAGTAAGTTCAGCACATCTATTGTGCAACACTGTTAACAACAATGTATTCTATGCTGGAAAATTTGTTAAGAGAGCTTAAAAGGTTCTCACTATTAAAAAAAAGTCTATGAGGTAGCATGTTGGCTTCATTTAGCAATTGCATAACATGTATATAACAAAGCATCAGGTTGTATGCCATTTTATTTGTACAATTCTTAAGATTTCATTTATTTGAAAGGCAGAGTGATAGAGGGAGAAAGAGGTGACCTCGCTCTTCTATCCAAAGTTTCCGCTCTCACAAATGGACACAAAGTTCAGGGCTGTGCCAGGACCAAAGCCAAGAACCTGGAACTCCCACCACGTCTCCCATGTGGATGGCAGGGATCCAAACACTTAGGTCATCATCTGCTGCCTTCCCAGGGGCATTAACAGGTAGCTGCATTGGAAGCAGAATAGCCAACTGGCATCCACTATGGGAAATGGGCTTCACTCATTGTATCACTACACTGGCCCCCAGTTTATACAATTTTTGTCAGTTAAAATAAATTCGTTCATTAAAAGAAAGTTTTAGCCTATAGGTTTTGTTCC